AAAAGTGTCAACTGTGGTGCCTGATGCATTTACGTTCATTTTTTGAAAAAAGATTTTTATTTTTAAGCACTCTGTACACCCAACATGGGACTCGAACCCACAACTCTGAGATCAAGAGTTGCACATTCCACCCACTGAGACAGCCGGGCGCCCCCTAACTTCATATTTCTTAAATAAATAAGGAAAAATAGAGATGGATGGAAGCTGAAAGGTCTTGACCGTCTTTAAGACCCATTAGCCAACAAGGAAAGAGGATTTAAAGGGGTTTAGCATGCTTGTCCTGCATGAGGAAGGACGTTTGTCTTGAGTTTGTTTCTGCATGTTTACCTTGAAGCACCGTGAGATTACAGTTGCCATTGTGGTTTGGTCTTGAGAGTGGTGCTCTTGAGACATTGAGTTGTATCAATGATGTTTTACCTTTTTGTCTTGAAAAGAAGGTAACTTTGTATTGTATTACTTGATTTTAAAATTAATACTTCATTATAAAAATTAGATACTTATAAAAAGGTGGAAGCCGTGTTTAAAATGTAACCACCCATGTTAATGTATGACCTTTTTAAAAAATATTTCTTTGAATCTATGTAACATAATACACATATGAAACACTTTACACCCCCACATGCTCACATGTACTGAAGCATTGTGTGTTCACATGCATGTAAATCCTGCACTAAGACATCAGTTGGGATGCTCCTCTCCTGAAGGCTTAGTTAGCTCTGCCCAAATTCCAATTTCAGGGATTGAGACAGGCTTAAGGCTCCTCTTTGATGTCTGTACATTTTGGGGGATTATTTGGACATGGTGCTTCCCATTTCATGCTTCTTCAATATCCTCTCTCTAAGGTTACATAATATCTTGGCCACAGAACTTCACCTCCTTACAGGTGCATACAAAACACACTGCCATTCTTATTGAGCATTTGTGATTTTTTTTTTAATGGAAGTTATTATGGCTTCAGGGGTCTTTGTGAAGGAGCACATCACAGAGCATGATCCTTTTTCTGCCTTGGCTTTATTCATCTTCCTTCCTATTTTAAAATAAGACCATGTCCCCTATTGAACTGGGAAAGCAGTCCCATCCTTATCAGTGTCCTTTAGGGTCTGTGCTTCTGTCCCAGGGAACTTATCAGGATATAGTTCCCAGAGGCAGTTCTCATTCTCCGAGAAATATTCTGAAAAAACACGATTTTTCCATGATATGCATATATTGATATTGAATATATATATACTTCACAAAAATGGGATCATATGATCGATATTCCTCTATAGTGTTTGTTTGCACGGTCTTCTGTATTGTGGGCATCTCTTCTTGGCAGTGAACAATGAACCTTCACCAGGTTTTAGTGGATGTATACTAGCCTACTGAAGGGATGTGCCATTGACTTGGCTCACACTCAAGCTGTTCCCAGTATTTTGCTATTATAAGCTGTATTGTGATGAACTCCCTTGTAATTTTCTGTGTAGTTTTCAATTACTTTAGAAACTCACTTAACTGATTTCTTCTTAACGACCTTGCTGAACTGTAATGTTTTACACACTCCATTTATCTGCAAAGCATGCTATGCACCTGCACATATATATACACACACACATGCATAGGGTTCAGGAGGCATTCTTTTTTTACAGAGCTTAATTTTTTTTCATTAGAAATATACATTTTGCCAGTGTCTGTTAAGATCATCACATTTTGTCTGTGACTTATTAACAGATTTCCTACTACATTTCTGTCTCATTGGAGGAACAAACCCCTACTTGAGTTAATGTTGCTAATGTATTGCTGAATATCATTTGTAAATACCATCTTTGTATAAGATTTTTGGATTGATATTTTTAAGTAAGAGTTCCCTCTAGTTTTCTCATATACATACTTTGTTAGGCATTGATGTCAAAGTTATACTGTCTTCATAAAATAATTAGGGAGGTTTCCTTAGTTTCTTTACTTTGAAATAGTTTAGAAATAACTTCCTGAATATAGAAAAAAAGTTTTTGGTCTCTGACTACTCAATATTAATCATCGCTTATTTTTCTATTTAGATTTTTCCCTTTAGATTTTTCTCCTTTGGGTTAGTTTTGTTGAAAAAAAATGTACATATATGTGTATTTGGAAACCATTCTTTTTCCTATATGTTTAAAAATTCTAGTACAGAGATCTGTGTAGTGGCTGTGTTTATAATTCCTGTTTATTCTTAATTTGTCTTTTTCCTTCATGATTAGAGCAGTTGGCATTTTGCATATGTTAAAAAAAATCTTGACTCTCTTGATCAATCCTACCATTTTAATTTATTACATAGATCACTTTATCTCTAATGTGTTTTCTTTTTCCTATTTTACTTATACTTATGTGATGTTTCTTAAATATTGAAAGGATATTTAGGTAACACTTTTCACCTGGTTGGTTAGCAGTGAAAGAAAGTGTTTAATTTTCCTCTGAGTACAGTTTTGACCATCTACCACTGATTGTATTAGGTAATATTTCTATTTTTGCTATTTACTAGATAGTCTATAATTGTGGTATTGATTCCCTACTGACTCAAAAATTATTAACGAGAGAGTTTAAATTATTAAGTGCTTGGACTTTATCTTTGTTTCTACTTTTCTTACTGATTTCTAGTTTCATTACATTGTTGTCAGTGGGCTAGGCCAACATGGGCTATGCCATTTCTGTACGCAGTAAATTGAATGTGGTTTTCTGTTTGTGTCTTACTATGTGATTTTCTTAAATGTTTCATGGTTTGTTGAAAGGGTTAATTCTTACGTTGTTCGTTTCTTCAAGAGGCACTTATCTCTAATATCTGACCTCTAGAAAACATTTAATATCTTTAATTTGAAAACTCAGAAGTAAAATTAAAAGTGTGAGTTAAAGTTTAAACAAATGAGACTCTGTAAAGATTCAAAAGCTTTACTATATACTCTCCCTCAATGGTGGTTGTTGTAAGTCATGAACAGATATTCTTATGGATTAAAATCAGAAATCCACAGAGCACATAGGACTCCTTCTCATTCTATACCTCATTCTTGACATTTGTCCCCAGCACTTGTCACTTGTGTGTGTGTGTGTGTGTAGCTGGTTGCTAGTTCTTGCTGGGGCTCTGGTCCCAGAGAGTCCCAAGTAATTAAGTGCATCATTGTTTAATCTTCAGGCAAAATAAAGAAAATAGATAAAGTCTTTAAGATTAATTGCACTCTGTTACTACAAGGACTCCTCTGTCTTGTTCTTACCAAGGAGATAAACAGGCAGTGCCCTCAAACTTAAGGTCCTTCACACTGCTTCCTAGCACTACCATATTTTAAATAGTGATTGTTTTCTTATGGCAACATCTTTTCCCCATTAAATATCCTACTATGTCAACATCTCACCAACCCTTTGTAAACAGTCATACTGTTTCGGAACAATCTCATGGGTGGAAGAGTAAAATTTTCATAAAATATTTACCAGATTTGCTTTGAAAGAATCACATGATTGTGAAACATTAAAAGTTTCAAATAGTTGATGTAAATTGGATTGAAGGAGATCATAAAGGTTGTGTAGGAATTTCATATAAGATGGTTTCTTTCATCAAAGACGTGTCTGAAACACTAGGTGAAGCAGTGTTAGAACAGGTGACTTGACTGTAGGAGTTCTGAGTCCTTCAAGTGCATTGTGAACTTTAAAGGGAAGTAGAGATACAGGAGGAAAACAAAAGCTTTTCACACTTTTAGCCATCTGCCCTCCCACTCTTTTTTCCAGGTATCAATTAATTATATCTCTCTGTGTGCCTGTTATAGTTACTAACTATATCTCCTAGTTTTTTGTGCTACATTTTCAGGAAAACTGATGTGCTCTTAACTTCTTCATTATAGATGTGAGGAAGTTGAGCTCTAGGGAAATGAAATAATTTAGTCTCGCGGCTAATTAAAAGCAATGAGTATCGGAACCCAAGTGAGGAGAGTCCCAGGACACTGGTTTTTCCATTATCATTTATCATTTCCTCCCAATATGAAATGTTACTTTCTCAAAATATATTCCTTCTAATGAGCTGTGTGGTTTTCCAGTCCCTATTAATAAATATCAATCCTTTTTTAAAAAAAATCTCAGTACCACCTCACACCAGTCAGAATGGCTAAAATTAACAAGTCAGGAAATGAAAGATGTTGGCGGGGATGCGGAGAAAGGGGAACCCTCCTACACTCTTGATGGGAATGCAAGCAGGTGCAGCCACTCTGGAAGGCAGTATGGAGGTTCCTCAAAAAGTTGAAAATAGAGCTACCCTATGACCCAGCACCCCAAAGATACAAATGTAGAGATCCGAAGGGGCACCTGCACCCCAATGTTTATAGCAGCAATGTCCATAATAGCCAACCTATGGAAAGAGCTCAGATGTCCACTGACAGATGAATGGATAAAGAAGATGTGGTATATATGTGTGTATACATACACACAGGAATACTACTCAGCCATCAAAAAGAGTGAAACCTTGCCATTTGCTACAGTGTGGATGGAACTAGAGGGTATTCTGCTAAGTGAAGTAAGTCAGTCAGAGAAAGACAAATATCAGATGATTTCACTCATACGTGGAATTTAAGAAACAAAGCAGAGGATCATAGGGGAAGAGAGGAAAAAATAAAACAGATGAAACCAGACAGGGAGACAAACCATAAGAGACTCTTAATCATAGGAAACAAAGTGAGGGTTGTTGGAGGGGAGGGGGGTGAGGGGATGGGGTAACTTGGTGATAGACATTAAGGAAGGCACATGATCTAATGAGCACTGAATACTATGTAAGACTGATGAATCACTGACCTCTGCCTCTGAAACTAATAATGCACTACATGTTAATAGAATTTAAATTTAAAAAATCTCAATTTTGTATATGTAGATGTATCTATATGTTTGTATATGTCTCAGATATAAAGTCTAAGTATTTTGTTTTTGTTCTAGCATTTGAGGGCTTAGTAGCAGCTTACCTTGCATTTTAAACTGGAGAGTCATATAACTGTGATGTCTGCTTTTTTCTTTTGCAGCGGCTCTAATTAGAGGAAATCGTAAAAACTGTGCTCAATTTTCTGGCTCCCTTGACTGGTTGATCAGCCGATTGGAAAGACTGGAAGCTTCTTCTGGTATGTTTTCTGGTTATCTCCTTGTCCTTACACATTATTCCTGTTTTCTTCTATTTTACATTAAGATAAAAACAAATTCTGAGCATCGGTGCCATTTAAATGTTTTCCTTTTAATAGGTTAAAATTTTTACTTATTGTTCAAATCATTGGTATTTTATTATTTCTGAAAAGCGATTTTACAGTTCATTTACATTAGAAAAAATGAAGTCCCTAAATCTAACAAGTCAGAACTCCCATTCTTTTTCAATCAGTTACTCCAAATGTATTATTTAAACAAAACAAAACAAAAAAACCGGTTTGAAACTTCTACTTTTAACTTGTGTTCAAAAGATTTGGATAATAATAGCCTAAAATCTGATTTTTTCCCAAATCATACAGTACAATATTTTAAAGTGATTGTGTAGATATTAATATTAGTAGTCTATCATAGTCAAATAGATACAGTCAATGAAACTGATATCTCTCTCTCTAACAGGTATGTTATTCTTATTTTGGTATTGTGGAAACTTAAAATTGATAACCTCAGGGCCTTCCTGAGCTTGTCTATCAGCGGCATCCCAAGCTGAAATGGATTGCTCCTCCCTGTCTTTGCACAGTAGCTCATTAGTTGCCCTTCCATACCACTGATGCCCCTTTGTGTTACTTATTTTTCCTCTCAGTGTCCTACACTAGCAATGAACTTCTTGAAGCAAGGGGCATGATCTCATTCATCTTTGGGTCTACCATATCATCTGGCACCTAGTAGGTGCTTACAAAATTTATGGAATGGACGAATAAATGAATGTATGAATGAATGGTTGAATTCACTTAAGAAAATGCCTATCAGTACAGATGTAATTTCATGACTTTGCATGAGAAAGACTCATTCAAGGATAGGTTTGTTGGAACTGAATGAATAGAAGAACATATGGTTGTGGTCAAAGGGGGAAATTTTAAGTCACAGAGTGAAATTTTAGTGTTTTAAGTTTCAGGAGGAGGAGAAATTTGAGTCACACACTGAGTCTTAAGACATTGCTGGAGTTTTGGGTGGCAGATATAAAGGAGATTGTTGAACGAAAACAGGCACAAGGATCATAAGATGAGGGTTTTTAGGGTATTGCAACATGAATGGGATGACTGTGGATCAATACAGAATATCTTGAATAAAGAGAAAACTGAATAAGTGCTAGGAGGAAGTGGTCAAGTTAGTGCTAACAAATGATGGCCAGATTGCGAAAATGGATAGATTCTTGGGTCAAAGTATCCAGAATTGTTGGCAATCTCCAGTAGATACAAAAAAGTATGCTGATCCCCTTTTCTGGCCACAGGGAATCTCTAGAGAGACGGGCAGAGCTACCTTCAGGACAGTGTTAATGTTACATGAATCACTTAAGATACACACACAGTGCTCAGAGCAGAAGAGGAGAGAAGGGAAGAACAGAGTGGAGCATCCTTTAAACTCAGCCAAGTAGAGTCCGCTGTCTAGAGTCTTCAGTTGAGTTGGTTATAGGCACAGTTCCCCTGGATACAAATTGCTATTTGCTATGATCTTTCTCCAAAGCAGCTGTTGGTCACAGGTACTGCTATGTCAAGTAGATGCTCCATGCTCTCAGAATGCAAAGGGAATGTCAGGCGTAGGAAGGACCCTTGGAGAACACTGAACCTGACATGTCACTTTAGAGGAAAGGAAATTGAGGCATAGGACATTCGAATGACTGATTGGAGATGATAGAATTGTTATAGCAGAGATGAAACCCCAGCTCGTAATCTTACATCAGGCTTGAGGTATATTCACTGTACCTTATAGCCTCCTAGTTTGTACGTATCTGAAATATTTTTCACTAAACAAATTTTCTCTGCTGTGGTTACATTTATGCTTTCAATGAACTGCTTTTTCTCCTAGAGGAAGTAGAATGTTGCTTAGTTTTTAGAGACAGTAACAATAACGATACGCCTATCATAAGATCATATCATATACACACATGCATAAATGTATTTCAGTCGTCTGTTATTGTTTCCTGAGTGCTCACAAAATGCATCATCTTAATCTCTCTCTCAGACTGCTGAACATGCTCTCCTTAGCTAGTCCATTTCCAGCTGCATTGCTTGTCTCTCCGTCTGTATATGAACAGCAGAGCAGAGCGAGGGGGCCCTATGAGCTTTAGATTTCCTTCCGTTAAAAAGTTCTTGCATGGCAAAGGAAACAGTCGACAAAACCAGAAGACAACCTACAGAATGGGAGAAGACGGGAAGAGCCTGGATGTCCATTGACAGATGAATGTATAAAGAAGGTGCAGTGTGTGTGTGTGTGTGTGTGTGTGTGTGTGTGTGTGTGTAGGAATATTACGTAGCCATTAAAAAGAATGAAATGTTGCCTTTTTGCAATGACATGGATGGAACTAGAGGGTATCATGCTCAATGAAATTAGAGAAATACAATTATCTGATTTCACTCATTTGTGGAATATAAGAAACAAAATAGAGGAGCATAGAGGAAGGGAGGGGAAAAATAAAACAAGATGTAATCAGAGAGGAAGACAAACCATAAGAGACTCTTAACTATAGGAAACAAACGGAGGGTTGCTGGAGGGGTAGTGGGTAGGGGAATGGTGTTAACTGGGTGCTGGGCATTAAGGAGGGCACATGATATGATGAGCCCTGGGTGTTATATACAACTGATGAATTACTGACCTCTACCTCTGAAATTAATACACTATATGTTAATTAATTGAATTTAAATTAAAAAAAGATTTCCTTCAGAAAAGGTCAGTGGACAAAAATCAAGATAAATCGGTGCATACTTAGAGATCTGATGAAGACCTGCAAAGGGTCAGCAAAAGGATGTGTTAATGACGAAGCTTACGTTCGTTTGGTGCCTGCAGTAGACCTTGAGAAAGGGCTTAAAGGTTTATTTGGGGAGTGAGTCCACCTGAGACATGGTGGAGACGGAATCCGGGAAGGGTGTGTTGACAAGCGAGTTACCGCCATGAATAACTGGAGCTTTTCTCTTGGGGAATTCTGGGAAACTCTGTAGGACTGTGCCTTACCATTCTCCCACCTGGGGCGGGGGGGAGACATTTAGGGTGTTTACCACCGACTTTTCTCTGTCACTGAGTGGTGCTGCTCCCAGAGAGCATGAATTCTGTGGCTTTTCCAGCTGCCACTGTGCTCAAGGCAAATCTTGAAGAAAAGAACTGCCAAAGCCGGCTGCTGCAAGTTCACTGAACCGAAAGGAGGAGAATTTGAGCAGGGCCCTGGCAGTATCTGGTACCCAGCCAACTGCTGTTTATCTCATTCTATGATAGTGGGGCTCAGGAAGAGGAGTGAGATTTTTTTCCTTATGCATGTTCTGCTTTGTTGGAAGCTGACTAGTATCACAAGTGCATAAAACTTTATTAGAGTATCTGATCAGTCTGTAAGAACAGCCACTGTGAATTATTTGGGAGAAAAAAAAAAAAGGATAAATTAGACCTTTTCCCAGGCTTCCTATGTGACTGTGTCTCTAGGCCAAATTTAATTGAAAAGACAAGATTTGTATGAGCAAGTCCAGTTGATGGAACTGATCGATTTCTGAGGGCTGGATTTTCTTTAGGCTATTCTGCACACTTGAAATCCTATTTGGGCATTTCAAGAAACAACTGACTGAGCACAGTCTGCTGGTCAGGAGGCTGCATACCTTTTCTGAGTCTTATTCTGGTACAGTCTATTCACAGATAGTTTTGGCTGTGGTGAAAGTGGCCTTCTTGGGGATTCCTGCCAATTCTTCCCCACTCCTAGTAAGTGCCATGAAGGAAGTTCCCTCTGGGTTCAAGCAGAAGGAGGAACCTTTCAGGGTGCTTGAACTGCCTACGCGTGTGCTCACACACCATACAGCATGTTGTACCTAGAAATACGATAGTTTAAAGCTTCCAAAGATGTCACAAATATTTTTTGCAGAGCATAAGCTCATCATTTTTCAAAGGGAAAAATGTGTTACCTGTGAAAAATCTGCCCTAGAATGTTGTGTGCCAGGATCCTCTTCCCTGATAGGTACTTAGGTACAAACATTTGAGTTAGCAAAAGCAGGAGTCTACAGGATATTGTCTGAGACCCGCTGTTGGTGATGCAGAAATCCTAGCTAACCTTTCAGAATGATATCTGCGGTTTAAGCAACACATAATGATGACACAGAAAGGGACAGTTTTCTAGGAGGTAACTTTGAAGAAGGAAACTTCAGCTGTTGGTTGATTCAAATCTTTTTTTTAAGATTTTATTTCTTTATTAGAGAACACGTGAGAGCGGGGGAAGGGGCAGACGGGAGGGAGAAGCAGACTCCACGTGGAGCAGGGAGACACGGGGGCTCAATCCCAGGACCCTGGGATCATGACCTGAACCAAAGGCAGACGCTTAACCTACTAAGCCACCCAGGCACCAGGATTCAAATCTTTTGATTGTGCAGAAAGTCAACTCTGGTTATAGCCAGGAGACTGTGCACCTGACCCTTATGAGAAACATAAAATCACAATCATGATGATATTGCAGACTTTGTCGAGAAAACCTTTTGTGATAGCTGTCGGGGTCAGTACTTCTTTGACCCTACCATCTCACCATAACATAATCATCCATCCTCATCTGTTGCTTCATGCAGAGCACCTTATTATGACTGGTGTTTTTAATAATGATCTGAGTCATCATGATAGTAAATTACATTTGATGCTGATGGATCACTTATGACAGGGAAACATAGTGTACATTTTTCAAAGATAATCACTCAATGTTTGAAATAATGTATTAGCGATTAGAGGATACTAATTTAATATTTAGCTAAGTCCCTTGTCAAAACTTACTCATTTTTGAACGATCCTGGAAAAGTCTGAGTAGAGCCATACTGCTTCCTTTTTCAGCGAAGCATTAAGTTATAGCTGGAAAGAAAAAGAGAACAGGGAATGGAGAATCTAGATTTGGGCGGCTTTTTGAAAAATATATTTTACCAGCAATGTGAAAAGTAGAAAAAAAAAAAAAGTCCCTCCAAGTAAAATCCAA